TCTTGGAGGAAGACTTTCAGGATCGCATTCTTTAACAAGAAAAGAAGCAAACTTCGGCAAGCCAAAGATTATATACCCTTGCAGCTATTGCAAGAATTAAATATTTTTTATACATTAAAATTATGATTTACTTGCGTATATGTCTAAAAACATTGAAGCAATGATGATTTGCAGCTCAATTATTAGATAGTTATTTTATATATTTTCATTATTTCTTTGGGAGCTATATGATATAGTCGTCCGATTTTGATGAAATTTAAACGGTAATTCCGAAATATTTAACCATTACTAAATGTCGAAGAACTAATAGAAAAATTTAAAAACAGCAAATTTATAATTTTTTTTTTTCCGGTTGTTCCTAAGGGAGCTATATGATATAGTCGACCGATTTTGATGAAATTTAAACCGTAATTTGAAAATATTTAACTATTACTATATGTCGAAGAACTAAAAAAATAAAAAAAACAGAAAAGTTAAAATTTTTTTTGTTTATTTTTTCGATTTTTTCTATGGGAGCTATATGCTATAGTCGTCCGATCCGGCTCGTTCTGACTTATATACTACCTGCAATAGAAAGACAACTTTTGGGAAAGTTTCATGCAGATAGCTTTAAAGCTGAGAGACAAGTTTGCGTCGAAACGGACGGACAGACGGACAGACTGACAGACGGACAGACGGACGGACATGGCTAGATCGACTCGCCTAGTGATGCTGATCAAGAATATATATACTTTATTGGAAATGTCTCCTTCACTGCGTTGAAAACTTCTGACTGAAATTATAATACCCTCTGCAAGGGTATAAAAACAACATATATAAGTGGAGAAACATCGATGAATCGATGCTTAAAAAATTTTGAGAACATCGATGTTTTTAACGATTATTAATGTTATTACCACATAACTAATGTAATGGAAGCTTAAAAGGTATGAGAGTAAAATCAAGTTTTTATACCCTTGCAGAGGGTAATATAATTTCAGTCAGAAGTTTGCAACGCAGTGAAGGAGACATCTCCGACCCTATAAAGTATATATATTCTTGATCAGCATCACTAGTAGAGTCGATCTAGCCATGTCCGTCTGTCCGTCCGTCCGTCTGTCCGTCCGTTTATATGCAAACTAGTCTCTCAGTTTTAAAGCTATCTGCATGAAACTTTCCCAAAAGTTGTCTTTCTATTGCAGGTAGTATATAAGTCGGAACGAGCCGGATCGGACGACTTTAGCATATAGCTCCCATAGGAACAATCGGAAAAATAAATGAAAAAAAATTATAACTTTGCTGTTTTTTAATTTTTTGTTTAGTTCTTCGACATTTAGTAATGGTTAAATATTTCCGATTTACGATTTAAATTTCATCAAAATCGGACGACTATAGCATATAGCTCCCATAGGAACAATCGGAAAAATAAATGAAAAAAATTATAACTTTTCTGTTTTTTAATTTTTTGTTCAGTTCTTCGACATATAGCAATGGTTAAATATTTCAGAATTATGGTTTAGATTTTATCAAAATCGGACGTCTATATCATATAGCTCCCATAGAAATAATAAAAATATATAAAATAACTATCAAATAATTGAGCTACTAATCATCATAGCTTCAATGTTTTTAAACATATACGCAGTAAATCATATTTTTAATGTTTTCAAATATGTTAAATTCTTGCAATAGCTGCAAGGGTATATGAACTTCGGCTTGCCGAAGTTTGCTTTCTTTCTTGTTAAATTAAATATTTAGGTGTTTTGAGATATTTTAAAATATGAAACGGCTGTGGATCTTTAGTCATGGAGAATTTGTTTTTGTTTACCATTACAAGAATTCGGATATGTAACACTAAGGGGGGGACCCTTAGGCCAATACACAATTTTTTTTCCTCCACCTCTATAAGCCTATTTAGACAGGCGGCTTTTCTGCTTCAGTGACCAAATTACGCTTCAGCGGATATATCCATTTTGTTGGCGGGAAAATTGCATATCTCTTCTTCTCCTTTTTGGGTTTGTTCACTTTTAGTAGTCCGATCAGCTGTTTTTGCATCAGCGGGTGCCTATCTGAATGGGACGCTTCAACTTTTTCGCTACAACTCTTTTAAACGGCTGTGTGCAGACGCTATATATGAACCGCGTGGTTCACGTTAAAATGTTACCAGAAATCGATATTCTAATACAAATGTGATTCAAATTTGCAATGCATTTTCATTGTAATATTTTTGAATGTATACATCCATATTTGATGCGTGATGCATTCTGGAATTATCAGCAATTGATGGTCGCAATAAATATAGATATTTAAGAAAAAAGTGCAGTGAAAAATAGCAATAATTTACAAAATCAGCACTATTTTTATACCCTTGCAGAGAGTATTATAATTTCAGTCAGAAGTTTGCAAAGCAGTGAAGAAGACATTTCCGACCCTATAAAGAAAATATTCTCGATCAACATTACTAGGAGAGTAGATCTAGCCATGTCCGTCTGTCCATTTGTCCGTCATTTTTAAAGCTATCTGCATGAAACTATCCCAAGAGTTGTCTTTCTATTGCAGGTAGTATATAAGTCGCAACGAGCCGGATCGGACGACTATAGCATATTGCTCCCATAGAAACAATCGGAAAAATAAATAAAAAAAAATTATACCTTTTCTGTTTTTGATTTTTTTTTAGTTCTTCGACAGAATTACGGTTTAAATGTAATCCAAATCGGACGACTATATCATAAAGCTCCCATTCTTAAGAGAATAACAGAGAATTAACAGTGGGAAATTAGATTCCGTGTGAATCTTTCGGAAATGAAAACTGAAAACTGGAACAGGGCTGATAATTATAAGACACTTTTGGTTTTTGGTTCTGATGTGGCAAATGAGAAACAATAATTATAATTATATTAGTGCTTAAAGAAAACAACATATTAATAGTTTATCGTAGAACCTTGACAAATACCAACACAAAAAATTTTGTTTTTCATTGACTTTTAAGAGGTGTTCAAATAAACTTGGGTCAAGTTGGATCCATTTAGACAAAATAGCTGTCTTAAGGTCCTGAACGCACTCATACTTAGCATTATCTTGCTAGTACTCCCCAAATGTTTTCTATAGGGTTCCGATCCGGAGCGCACGCTGGCCAGTCCATAACTTCGACGAAACAATCTCGCAAAAACTGTGTGGTTTGACAACTCGGGCATTAACCTGCATAAATATATGCGGCTTTTCCCGATTTTATTTGTACATCAAATATGGAAGCTGGCTGTTGTTCAGTACCCGTATTACCCACTGCTGCCCATCCTGGAGCTGTAAACTGAAAATTTCGAGTCCCAAGCTTTTTAAAAGCGTCCGAAACCACGGTTGACCCGCCCCGGAAATTTCTCCTTGTAAAATGAAGGGGCTCCTTCCTCAAATAATGCCAATAATGTCTAAATCCATCTGGTCCATTGAGATTAAATTTTTTTCACCCGCAAAATTACTTTTTATGAAAAAAAATGATAAGTGTAATTTTAAATATATATGTTAAATTGAACTTCCCGAGTCCCAGTTAGTACCTTAATTGCATTAAATAAAACTAATGCGAGGTTTTTATACCCTTGCAGAGGATATTATAATTTCAGTCACAAGTTTGCAACATGTTTCCGACCCTATAAAGTATATATATTTTTGATCAGCATCGCTAGTAGAGTCGATCTAGCAATGTCCGTCTGTTCGTCCGTCTGTCCGTCCGTTTCTACGCAAACTAGTCTCTCAGTTTTAAAGCTATCTGCATGAAATTTTCCCAAAAGTTGTCTTTCTATTGCAGGTAGTAAATAGGTCGGAACGAGCCGGATAGGACGACTATAGCATATAGCTCCCATAGTAACAATCGAAAAAATAAATAAAAAAAAATTATAACTTTGCTGTTTTTTAATTTTTCTATTAGTTTTTTCACATATAGTAATGGTTAACTATTTCAGAATTACGTTTTAAATTTCTTCAAAATCGGACAACTATATCATATAGCTCCCATAGGAACAATCATATAGTAATGGTTAAATATTTCAGAATTATGGTTTAAATTTCATCAAAATCGGACGACTATATCATATAGCTCCCATAGGAGCAACCGGAAAAAAATACAAAAAAAAAATTATAACTTTGCCGTTTTTCAATTTTTCTATTAGTTTTTTCACATATAGTAATGGTTAACTATTTCAGAATTACGTTTTAAATTTCATCAAAATCGGACGACTATATCATATAGCTCCCATAGGAACAATCGGAAAAAAATGAAAAAAAATTATAACTTAGCTGTTTTTTAAGTTTTTTCTTAGTTCTTCGACATATAGTCTTGGGTAATTATTTCAGAATTACGGTTTAAATTTCATCAAAATCGGACGACTATATCACATAGCTCCCTAAATAACTATCTAATAATTGAGCTGCAAATCATCATAGCTTCAATATTTTTCAACATATACGCAAGTAAATCATAATTTTAATGTTTTCAAAATGATTTAATTCTTGAAATATTATTATTATTAGTCTGATGTTTACCGTCACGAGGTCAAGAGTTTGTTGGTACAAAAATTTATTAAAAACAAAAGTTTTATAACTTTTCCCAATATATTTCGACTGCACTTCGGCAACTGTCTTCAGGGCAAATTATTTTACATGACTGCACCGTGGGACGTAATAATTAATATTTATTTGTGACTAAAAAAATGCATACCAAGGCGCAACAAGAGCACGTAAGCACTGATGAGAGAGGAGTGGTGTATGCACACATCTTTTCTCTAGATTAATGAATTTTAAAATACCCGCATAAGGCTAGAACTATATTACTAACTATTACTGTCACTCGCTGCCAACCACAGTTTGATGAAGCGCTAGGGGAGCAGCGAAGATCGGTGACAAATGAGCAGGATGATTTCTTTCAATAATTTTTCTCGTTATGTAGAAAAGAAAGTGGCTAGCCAATACCACACATCGAAGAAACTTTGTGCTTGATAGCAATATGTAATTAAATGTCTTATGTATTTTAGGGAGCATCTGGAGAACAATCATCAAAGATTTCTTTAGTTAATGACATTGTTGACGAAACTTGTTTCAACGAAAATCCTACTGTTACACAAGAAAATACATGTGAAGATGCTGTTGAAGAACGAATGCATAAGCAAAACACTTTGGAGATAGAATCCTTACGTCACTATTTACTTTCCATTATCTACATGCCGTTATCTTTAAAGATGATTTGCATTACTAATCTATTTTGCTGGATGGCACATGTATGTTACTCACTGTATTTTACGGACTTTGTGGGTGAAGCAGTATTTAAAGGAGACCCGAAAGCAACCCAAGGATCTATTCCCCAACTTCTTTACGAAGAGGGTGTCCGTTTTGGATGTTGGGGAATGGCAATGTATTCTTTGTCATGCGCCTCTTACTCACTTATCATTGAGAAACTTATTCAACATTTTAGGTGAGTTTTTCATTTTTTATGTTGAGCTCTAATTTTTAAATTATGTCTTATATTTAAAGAGCTAAGTCAGTGTACGTTGGAGGACTTCTTTTTTATTGTACTGGAATGGCCCTTATGGCATTAACTCGAGCCAAGATAAGTGTTTTAGTTTTTAGTTGGACAGCGGGTATTATGTACTCCACGCTATTCACTATGCCATATCTACTGGTTGCTCACTATCATAATGTTTCCACAGTAAGTATTATAAATAAACTTAAAGTTATTAAACAAAAAATGCTCGAAGCACAAATTTACTGCCATAAGTTCTTAGTGCTAAGAAAATTTAAAATTCAGCCCACCTAATATAGTGTCTGGGAACCGGGGGGATTAAGACAGACCAGACAGATCACTTCGTTATGTAAGATCCCACATGTGGAATCGGTTGTGGAGCACAGCGAAAACGAACGACACTTGGCAGAATTTAAAAATAAAAAATAATATCGATGTGTAGAGCGACACCGCTACAGCTAAAAGTACTAGTCTGACGGCGCCGCTGACGCCCCGATAATTTTTTTATTTAAATATATATTATATTTTTGATCAGCAACACTACACATAAAAAAAAAATATCTAAACTCAAATATTTAATTCTTAAAACCGGGACGGTTTTCCCATGAAATAGTAATTTTTCCAAAAAATATTAAATAACACAAAAAATATTTGCATTCCTATTATTAGTGGGACCGCCAACTATTGTATGTTGACTCTAAAAGCATTAACAAAATACACAGAGTAACACTAACGGAGCAGCAACAGAGCATGTTAAAAGTTTGTGAATCGACCTCTGCTCCCGCCCTATATTTATTTACGTTCTTAAAATGAATGTGTCTCTGAAACGATAGAGGTGGAGAAAACACAAAAATAACATCCCGCGTTGGGATTCGAAATGGCTTTGCTCAGATTTCTGGCCAAGCCGGGGCGATTGCCAGTTGTGCTTAACACTCATGTAAATATTTGTGAACAATTCTAAAAGTAATTTTACTACAAATTAGCCTGGAGAGGAATAAGAAAATATTTTTCTTACTTTTTAATTAGTAACTTTACTGTTAAATACGTCCGAAAATGAATGAATCACATATTTAAGTATCAATTATTTAGTATTAATTATACGATTGATATATTTTCCAAAGCTGCCAAAGCTGCTGTAACCATATAAAAACAAACCGAAAAGTGTTTGCTAAAAAGAAGTCCCAAGAAAATAATTATTTTTTTTCGTACCATGACAACCGTTTCGTTCCGTTCCGAAACTAGAACAGGGGCAGCGGATATGCAAAAGTAGGCTAGTATCCAACAATGTTTTGAAAACATCAAAGAATAAGGTAAAAATATCATTTGCACTTTAAGTTGTCGCAAAGTATTTTAAAAGAATTAATTTCTGTTCCGAAACCGTCAGCCAAACTATAAAAGCTAGAGCTGACTGGCAGCTGTCCCCTATTGACAAAGGCGTTTGATTTGTCAGAGCTTGGCGCATCCAGGGAATTTACATTTTAGGAGAGTTTTTTATTTAGCTAACTAATAAAATATTTATCACTAATTATACCTGTTACTCGTAGAGTAAAAGGGTATAAGGGTTGAAAAGTATATGACAGATAGAAAGAAGCGTTTTCGACCATAGTATATATATTCTTGATCAGGACTAATAGCCGAGCCGATCTAACCATGTCCGTCTGTCTGTCCGTCTGTCTGAACATTGAGATCTCGGAAACTATAAAAGCTGGTGATTTGGGACTTGGCATGCAGTAGTTCCTACGCAGCGCAATTTTATTTCAAAACGGGTCCACGCCCACTTTAAGGCCCACATGCTGTACTGGGTCACTCACAAACAACTTGATGTAAGCTACATGTAATTTATATATGCCTCCTGACAAGTTTGATTTAATTTAAAATAAACAAAAAAGAAAGAAAACTTCGGCAAGCCGAAGTTCATATACCCTTGCAGCTATTTCAAGAATTAAATCATTTTGAAAACATTAAAATTATGATTTACTTGCGTATATGTTGAAAAACATTGAAGCTATGATAATTTGCAGCTCAATTATTAGATAGTTATTTTATATATTTTTATTATTTCTATGGGAGCTATGTGATATAGTCGTCCGATTTTGATGAAATTTAAACCGTAATTCTGAAATAATTACTACTATATGTCGAAGAACTAAGAAAAAACTTAAAAAACAGCTAAGTTATAATTTTTATACCCTTGCAGAGGGTATTATAATTTCAGTCAGAAGTTTGCAACGCAGTGAAGGAGACATCTCCGACCCTATAAAGTATATATATTCTTGATCAGCATCACTAGGCGAGCCGATCTAGCCATGTCCGTCTGTCCGTCCGTCTTCCTCCACGGAGGAAGTCCAAGAAGAAATATCGAACATCGGCGAGTCGACAACAAGTGATATAGTCCTGGAGGCCCTATAATCCTCCTTAGATGAGGACATCCCAGTAGAGGCTTCACCCACAATGAAAAGTGCAATGCGAAGAACGCAAGCCGCGGTGATTGGGCTGAAACCCGGCCTAGCCAAGCACCTTCTCAAAATTGGGAAAATACGCATCGGATGGATAGTATGCAGAATCAGACCAAAAGTGGAAGTAAGAAGATGCTTCAAGTGCATGGGGTGGGACACACCGCCAGAGACTGCCGCACTAAACACGCCGTGTCTAAGGAAACGTGCTTCAAATGCGGACAACCTGGCCACTGTAGCAAGAACTGCAGAAACCCACCGAAATGCTTGCTGTGGACACGGATGGGAGCCCCAGAAACAGGCCACTCACTCTTTAACCGACGCTGTACGAAATATCAGAAGGCACTCTCCCAGCTTAAAGATGGTAAGGGTGCTGCAGCTAAGCCTTATGCACTGTAATCAAACAGTCCTGGAGAAGAAGATAGAAGTGGCTATCCTCAGTCAGCCATATACAACGAAACACGACGGAGTATGGCTACAAAGCCAGGGTGGCGGCGCAGCGATTCGGAGCTTTACCCGAAAGTGCAAACAGCTAATTATGATTATCCAAGCCAGGATACGCAAGGGCAAATTACAATGGGACTTTTCTATACAGCTCATCTTCGACCTGGTCAGCGATGCGAGCGGAAAGTCACCAGTGATCGTTGCTAGAGATTTCAACGCACAACGCCGCGAGGAACATCCCCTGCTGGATGTCTTGGCTGCCCTAAATGTGTGCCTATTGAACGTCGGAAGCCAGCCAACCTACAGCAAGGGCCCAGTCATCTGCAGAACCTCCAGGTGGACGGTGGAAAACCTATACACCCACAACGATCACTTTGCGGTGATAACGGACACCGGCGCCGATAGCGTCACAACCTCGCTCACGCCCGGAGCCACCCGATTCGGGTGGGAACGCTGAACAAAAGCCTTCTCCTTCATGCAGTACATGGCTTGACGGCAAACGGAAGCGATGAGGCCTGTAAGGCGACGATGACGAAAACCAGAATTGTAGGAAGACATCACTGCCAGGTACTTTAGTGGAACGAGTCCAGTGACAAAGCAAGAAAGGAATGCCACGCAGCAAAAAGACTCTCGCAGAGAGTTAGGAACTCAAGGAACTTCGACCGTGCGCAAGTTGTCTTTATAGAAAGGCAAAAGGTGCTGCATATAAGGTCGTGACTTGTCGCTTTTTCCAAGCCAGCCAATGCTTGATACTGGCACAGACCATCCCACATTGAGAGAAGTAGAGCTAACCACGAGCCGGGAGTGCTCCAAACAGCACGCATATTAAAGAATGGGAAGGCTCCGGGGCCCGGCGGAGTACCAAACTCAGCGCTAAAGCTCATAATTGCCACACACCCCGATGTCTTCGCGCAGATGTATAACTGTTGCAACACAGAGCGAGTGGTACCGAAGGCTTGGAAACTCCAAAGGCTGGTTCTCATCCCAAAACCGGAGACCCATCGGCTTACCGCGCGCTTTGCATCTAAAGTCAATAGTCATTGCAATCGGCTTGAAAGTCAACTAACGTCTAAACGAGGGATTTCTTAACTGCAGTACGGATTCAGTAGCAAACGCAGCACCGTAGATGCAATCAGCACGGTGATAACACACGCCTCTGACGCTTTCAGGAGAATGGTCAGGAGGGGAGAAGCACTGTTGCCTGGTGTGCACCGTAGACGTCAAAAATGAGTCCAACACGGCCAACTGGAGTCGAGTCCTGCAGTCCCTTAAAAAGCGGGGGATATCACAATACCTAATCGATATCCTACGCAGCTACTTCTCAGATCGGGTGCTGATCTACGAGACTGACGAAGGACAATGCCGACAAAGAGTGACTTGAAGGGTCCCCAATGGCTCAGTCCTCGGACCGACGCTGTGGAACGCGATGTACGACGACATCCTGTTGCTCCCACTTCCTGAGGACTGTACACACGTCGACAGGCCGAGGCAGCAAAGCAAAAAGCTTATAGCTAGTGTGGTATTTTCAGCGATATTCTACGGAGTGAGCATATTGGCATCAGCTACCAGGTATAGGCGTTGCTCCCTCAGAGTGTCCAGCTGTTTCTGCACAGTTTCTGGGGAAAAACGCGCCCCCTGACGCATGTGGTATCCTGCTAGCTGGCGAGAAACAAACCGGAAACTCATTTCCACGGTAACAGCAACACAAAACCATCCAGAGCTGGTGACAAAGTTGGGATAACGCCACTCGGCTTCTTATGCTAACCATCGAAGCGTGGACTCGCAGGAAGCAAGGCCAGGTGGATTCCTACCTGAGCCAAGTGCTCACTGGACTCGGAAGTTTTAAAGCATATTAAAATCGGTTCAGGCATGCGGAAAACCTCTCCTGCGAGTACTGCAAGGTCGGGGAGATAGAAGACGCTGCGCACTCATTCTTCAGATGCCCACTCTTTAACAGGAAAAGGTGCAGTCTAGAAGAGGTGCCAATGGGCTTGCAAACGTCCGCCAACGGTTGTTGACGGCTAGTTCGAAAGTACGGATAGCCTTTTGACGATTGTCGAAAGGAATCAGCTCAAATCTAAGTCCATGTATGGTATAACTTTTTGGACAGCTAAGCATAGAACAGTAAACCCTACTATCCTACAATCATTAAATTATTTATCTGAAATATAGAAAAATGTTATTTTTTCTACATTTAAAAAAACATTTAAAGAAAGGAAGAAAACTTCGGCATGCCGAAGTTCATATACCCTTGCAGCTGTGAAAAAATTAAACATTCTTGAAAATATT